AGACCCCACAGGCGGATTTCGTGGAGACCGAGCCTTCGCTTCGGCAGGAGACGAAGCTGACTGGGACGAGCAGAACGTGGACGGAGCATCGGAGGAAGCCGGACCTCTACCCTACTGCTCAGTGGACATCCCGATGGACGACGACAACCCTCGCGAGAGCATCAACGCCGAAGTCCACTACGACCTCGCCGACAACGGATACGTTACACCTCAACCAGTCAACACCAACATCTTAGAACACATAGGACCCAATTTCATACCCAATCCAGAAGCGGGAGACAAAGAAGTTTATCCCGAGGACCCAAATCTCCTCCGACTCTCACATAGTGGACTGCAGATACTGGGACTCGTCACCGCCGTCCACGGAGCAACACCACCTAAGGAGCCTGCCACAATTCAGCAGGCTCTGGGGGGGGAGCACAAGGAAAAATGGCGCGAAGCTATGGATAGGGAATTGAAGGCGCTGGAAGAACGCAACACCTGGAAGGTCGTACCCATCGGAGTGGCACGCAACAAGACAATACTCACCGAGAAGTGGGTCTTCGGCGTGAAGACGAAGACTGACAGATGGCACCATCGACAAGTTCAAAGCACGATGGGTCGTACGCGGCTTCGACCAATAACACGGACGAGACTTCACCGAAACTTTGGCGCCGGTCAGCCGACACACCTCACTGCGGATTCTCCTCGCGATAGTGGCCATGAAGCAGAAGAAGCTCCGCCAAATCGTTGTCGCCAACGCCTTTCTCTACGCCCCCGTCGATGCTGAGATCTTCGTCAAACAACCACACGACTCCAACGCAGATCCTGACCAAGTCTATCAGCTGCTAAAATCCTTATACGGCATTAAGCAAGCTTCGAGACTGTGGCAGCAATACTTACACGCTCGGCTAATCCGCATCGGATTCCGCCAACTACCGCACGACCAAGGCATGTACCGACTCACGAAAGGCATCGACTACATCCTGCTTGTCGTCTACGTGGACGATCTGCTCTACATCGGCTCGACCGACGGCATCACGACCTGGTTCGAAGGGGAACTGCAGCGGGATCTCACACTCACCGTCTCCTCCACCGTAACGCAATACCTCGGGCTCAACATACAAGAAGAGGAGAACGCGATATGCCTCAGCGCCGCGAAATACGCCGACACCATCGCCAAATGCTTCGGACTAACCCCAGCCGCCATCACCACACCCTATCACTACACCGATGGAAATCGTAAGGAAGCCTCCGCTCTGCTCAAACCCGCCGGCATATGCGACTACCAACGAAAGTTGGGATGTCTGCTCTTCGCAGCCGTCACCTGCCGACCGGACCTATCGTACTCGGCGAGCCAACTTGCCACCCACCTCAAGAAGGCTGAAGCAGATCACATGACCGAGCTCGACCGCGCTCTTCACTACCTCGTCAGCACCCCGACGATCGGTCTAACCTACCATAACAGCGAAACCTCGACACCTAAGCTAATCGGCTATGTAGACGCCAACCACGCCGGCGATCCCGACAACAGACGATCGCGCACCGGCTACATCTACCGACTCGAACCTATCGGGCCTATCTCATGGCAGTCGAGCAAGCAAGAGCTAATTGCTCTCTCCTCAGCCGAAGCAGAATATATCGCACTCTGCTCAGCCACCAAGGAAGGACTGTACCTTCACGAATTACTGGAAGAAGCGAAGCTGGCTCAGTTACCCAGCTTCTCCCTGTTGTGCGACAACCAATCAGCAATCCGCATAGCGAACAAGAACGGGTTCGCGAACCGAACGAAGCACATCGCCCTGCGATATTTCTTCGTGAAGGACGAGATCGAGAAGGGGAGACTCGAGCTATCCTACTGCCCCACATCCGAGATGGCAGCCGATTACTTGACCAAGAAGCTCGGAAAGCAGAAGTTTGAGTATTGCATGCTGCTGACTGGTCAAGGCCACGTCACTGGCAGCGACACTCCAGAAGCGAAGGGGAGTGTTGGAAACAAGTAATTTAACGCTTCTGATGTGTCGGAACATCGAAGTGTAAATGAAGCGAGTTACAACGAAGCAACAGCGAGTCAACCGAGGAGGTTGACAAAACGTAACAGCTGGAGGTTACGCGAAGGTCAAAGGTCAGCAACCCTTGACTCGCCAGAAGACGGCGCGACAGCAAGGACAAACAACTGACTCGGTATTGAGCAGTTGCCCGAGTCGTCGCTGTATCGAACCGCAACAGCAACAGTAAAACAGTTAGCTAACTGCATCCTTTCATATTCCTTGTAATCTTATAAAGGGCTTATATTACTTTGCTATAATCAATCTATCTTGCCCTCACACACAAGCGCAAGGTGGTTCAATATCTTGTCATTAAATGCTTCCGCAATGACAACATTCCTACTCAGGTTTTAGCCTTGAAAAGATCCTAAGGCATTTTTTCTCAGCCCAACAGCGTGAGCTGCAGGTTTCAAAGTGTGTGGGTCGGCTTCGGAAGACCCACTCAATTGATGCCATATGGCAACACAAGAAGAATCGAGATTGAAGAAGAATTCGGTTCGGTGAAATTCGGGTGCCGAATTTCACCCCTTCGAAATGTTACTCGAACATTCGCGAGTGTAGCGGTTCGATGTTACGTGCGCGACTCGATGTTTGCAGTTCATATAAAATCGTGTTGCTTTGTATTGCATGAATCATAGTGAAAATCAGAGTTTCCTATACACGGTTCAACTCGGCACAAAATCCAGAGACTTTCTATCCTTCAATCTTTGAGCACTAACTCGCACGTTGAAAGCCGTATCTCAGCCGATACTTGGGCGAATCACGTGTTCTACGGCTTGTTGGAAAGCCAAGAGTGTGCTCTAGTGATTAGTACATCTCCAAGTTCCTGCCAACTAGAGGAGAGTCCTCTACAATAACTGTTGCGAGGCCCGGCGCTCGAGTTGTACGTCCCTACCACCATCCCTAGTCCCAATCATATGCCATCCCTACTCAAGCACGCCCATGCCCTCCAGGTTCCCGTCCTCATGACAGTAATTTACCCCATTCCCATGCCGATCCATAATCCCACTCCCATTCCCGTGGATAGTCCTATCCCCATTATAACCGTCCCGTTTGCATGCCCATCCTTAGTCCTATACTCATGCACATTTGTATTCCCATCCCCTTGGCTAGCCCCATCACCATGCCCATCGATACTCCCACTCCCATACCCATGCGCATCCTTTTATGCATCCCCGTACCCATCCTGTTTCCCATCTGCATGCCCAACTCTTGTCCCATATCCATGCCTATCCCTAGTCCAATGATCATTCCCATTACCATACCATTCATAGTCCCATCCTAGACTCGTCTCCATGCCTATTGCTAGGCTTATCCTCATGCCCATCATTGGTCTCATTCCCATGCCCATGCTTATCTGCAGTCCCATCCCCACGCCCATCCTGACTCCCATCATCATGACCACATTCATTCCCATGCCCATGCCTACCTGTAGCCCCATCCCCATGCCCATGCCTAGTCCTATCCCCGTGTCCACCCCGATTCCCATCCCCATGCCTATCTATACTCCCATTCCCATGCTCTTCCCAAGTCCTGTCCCCATACACATGCCTACTCCCATACACATGCCTACTCCCATACACATGCCTACTCCCATACACATGCCCATCCCTAGTCCCATCCATTCGGCCATCCCATTCCTGTGCCCATAACCATACTTAGTCCTATCCCCATGCCCATCCGTCCTCCCATCCCCATTCCCATCCCTGATCCCATCCCCATGCAGAAGGTGGGACCGTGGGAGTGTGGGGTGCAGCCATGGTGGCTTGGGTGCTTAATGTGCCATCTCCATTTCCATCCCATCCCCATTCCCGTACAGCCAACGGAGCCTCTTCAAATCGGCGAAACAGTCAAGATAAGCAAGTCTTGATGATTGATTGACTTTTGCAAATCTTGAAGGAGAATCCAATGAACCGGCCAAGCGACAAAACAACACGTGACGATCAAATGTTGGGAGTGGGCAAAGGGACATTGTGGGATGTCTGGCTAACAGGCTTCTGAGGTTGGATGGCCTGAAATAGGCCGAGAAGAGACAATATGATGTTCGGTAAGGTAGTCTCACCATGGGGACAAGAACTTCTTTCAAAGGGTTCACATTATCCCGAGCATTGCCCATCCGTGCAGTTAAGCATTTTTTTCTGTCAGCATGAGCAATAAAATATCCCCAAAATCACCCCAGAGGGAACTAATGAAGGAGGTAATGGTAACACCCAAGGGAGATTATTTGCATGCTCTTTGCATGGTGGGTTACATATGAGCACAATGGCAGCGCAAAACCACTCCTATAGAAGGGTCGGCACAACAACGGAATGTGCTATGGCATGCCTATTGTGTGCACATACCGTAATCACCCGGACATACCACCCGCCGAAATTGAAGACCCCCCGGGTGGCTTGTGCGGGGTGGGTGCTATAGCGGACCTCGTTTCTACTATACCCCCCTTTTGGGGTGATTTTCTATAACACCCCCCTTTCTTACAGTTTCTAATTATAGCTGTTAGTGAGTTCTACAGAACATCGCGGAAATCACTTCCTCGATGAAACTACATGGTAATTTCGAAAGAATCTGCCGAAATCCCCCCCCCCCCCCCCCCCTCTTTTATACTGCTGCCACACTGGTAGATAGTTCACTAACAAGTGGCCAAAAAGGTGCCACCTGGCAATTTCAAGGGGGGTGAAAAGGTTCTCGCCAAAACCCACATTCTCGCTTCTAGCTGTGATGTTAGGTTCTCACCCAAGTTGTCTTTTCATCAAAATCCTTACACTAAAAAATGCCATATAAAAAGACCCGGGCACCGGTATGTACCGTAGCTTTTTCCGATGAGAAGACCCCCCCCCCCATTTTTTTGATGTAGTTATCATAGCACCCTAGGGTGGTATGTCCGGGTGATTACGGTATTCAATAACATGGAACTGTTATCTAACAACCACTAATCGAGTATCACTGAGCCACTTGATAGGCTCAAAACATGACTTATTGCTCAACATAAGCAAGCAAAAAGTTTCTCACATCTTGCCACAAACCAGGCCTGAAATGCTTCAAAGCAGCGCTTCCAGTTCTATTCGCCACATCACCTGCTATAGGCCACTTCCCATCCACCCATTCCCTCAACTCATCCACTTCTGCATCTATGCGCCTATACGGATCACTACTGAGCGCTTTAAAAGGCGACTCACTATAAGCCATAAAGTCCCTCACAGCCCTCCGCCCTACAGATGGTTCTAGCAACTCATGCCCGCTGGCCTCCAATATAACCACAGCTCGCTCAGGCCACTCTTGCTCATAATCCCCTTCATTAATATCTTCCTTCAATACTTGTCTTCTTAGGCTTTCACCCCCAAAGCTGTCCACTGAACCATCCCGAGCCTGCTCCTCAGCTTCGGAAATCTTCCAGCAGAGCTCCTCCAGCCACACCGCCAGTGCAAGCACTGCCACCGGACCTCGGTACAAGTGCAGGTCTAGGGACCAAACCGGGCCAGCCAGGCTCGGCACAGGCTGGCTCGGCGGTGTTGGATATGCTCCGAATCTCCGAGCCTCTTCCAAGACCAAACAGGCTCGGCGAAACCTGCCGAACCTGCAGAGAGCTGCGGCAAGAGAGGCGAACAGAGGACGCAGGGAAGCAGGGTGGGCATTGCCTTGGACGCTTTGAAGAAGCTTCCTTAAGTCGTGGAACAGAGCCTTCTCTTGGGCTGAAGGAGCATCCAATTCTGTCAGCTGCTGCTGCTGCTGCTGCTGTTGTTGTTGATGTTGCTGCGTGGGGGATGTCCGATGTAATTGCTGCTGCTGAATGTACTCCCTCTGTGCCTCCTCAGCAGATGCCTCCTCAGCAGATGCCTCCTCAGAAGATGCCTCCTCAGAAGATGCCTCAGGATGCTGCCACTCCCGTCCGCTGCCCTGTGAGCCTTCTCTCCCCATCATCTCTTGCTGCCCCACCCTCCCAATCACCCCTTGTTGCTCCACTCCCATGCTCTCCGATTCTCTAGCTACCACCAAGCCCCTCATCATCCCACCCTCTACAGGCACGAGCCCCAGGAGGTGAGTGAGAGGGCGGAAGCGACCAGCCTGTAGGGACGAGAGCCAGTGGAGCAGCAGGTGGGATGCTGCTGGGGATGGTGTGGAGGCAGGCACAGAATCAACATCAGCAACAGGGGAAGCAGTAACAGCAGCGATAGCAGCATCATAGACAGATGATTCAGATCCCACTTGGGCTGGTGCTTGTGTTCTTTCAGCATGCGCCTGTGCCTGTGCTTGTGCATGTGCCAGCAGCAAGAGCAGGGCAGCAGCGCACACCGACCCCTCACTCATCCCCCACGCCTCCACCTCAAGCACCTCCTCTGCTGCCCCCTCCACCACCGCCCCGTGCCCCCTTGCTGCCAGCACAGCACTGTACGTCGCCACGTCAGCACACATCCCCCGCCCGTGCATCTCCCCCAATAGCGCCTCGGCTCGTTCTAAAGCTGACGGTGCTTCGGGTGCCCTGGCTGCCGAACCTGTTGCCGAAGCTGCTGCTGGCGAAGCAGCTTCGGACCGTGTCTTGCCTGCTGCTCGTCCTTCTCCCTCCCTCTCTTCCCAACTGTCAGCCACACCACCAGCGCCACTATCACCATCACCATTATCAGCAGAGGCAAGAAAAGCATCGATGGCAGTCAAATAGCACTCCCTCTCAACCTCCTCTGCCGTGGCCCACGCTCTTTTCTCCCCATCCAAGAACCACTCCCCACCTCCTCCCACCGCACCTCCATGACCATCCACTTGAGACACACGCCTACCCTCACCCACTCCACCTCCCCTTCCACCTGCACTAGAATCTTCCCCCGACTGACTTTGCATGGCTCCTGCCTGCCCCACCTGCCCCACCTGTCGTGCGATTCCCAGCATCTCCCTCATCCTTCCCACCTTCCCTGCAACTCCAAACGCCTGAGCTGCTGCCACGTAAGCGCCAGCTGGCAGGCTCCGGACTGCTCCAGCTGGCGCCACATAGGCGCCAGCTGGCGTCGTATCCAGCATGCCACGTCGCACCGCCCGCTGCAGAGCCCCCTCCATCCCCGCCACGTCAGCAGCAGCTGCGCAGGCAGAGAGGAGGGCGGCAATGGTCGTCTCGTTGCGGGCCACTCCGTGCCGAAGCATGTAAGCCATGACTCGCCGAACGCCGCCCGGAGAGGCCACTGCAGCATAGGCTTCAGCCATGGCGTTGCATGCAGATGAGGACAAAACGAGCCGGTGGCGGCCGCGGGGGTGGTGATGTGAAGGGGATGAGGGAGGGGAGGGGAAGGAGGAGAGACTCTGATAGCCCTGATAGCTGCTGACCATGCCACCATACCCATCACCCTCATAACCCTCACCCCTGTACCCCGAACTATCACCACCATAGCCATAGCTACCATTGGCACCATACTCAACTCCTCCACCAACCGCCATCCCTATTCCCATAGGCTCCTCTACCCACCCTCTTGATCCCCCTCCATTCCCCTCCCATGTCCTCCCCTCCCTCCCTCCCCATATCCGCCCGTCCACCATCATCCCCCCACCCATGGTTCTTCCCCCCATGGTCTCTCCTGCAATTGCCCCTCCCCCCATACTCCGTCCCCCTATTCCCCCACCACGCACCCCCATTCCCCCCATCCTCCCACCTCCGATGCCCTCCCCCGCACCTTCCCCCCAAGCCGAATCACTCGCACCCATGCCACCTGCCCCCATCCTTCCCACACCGCTTCCATCTCCTGTCACACTACCCCCCATGCCACCTGCCCTAATCATACCCACCCCCATGCTGCGAGCATCTATCCCCATGCCCCGTGAACCCATTCCCAGGGTCTGAGCACCACTAAAGAGTGCTTCCATATGGGACAGCATGCCTGCGCGCGCGTATGCCTCCACTGCTGCCGACACCACCCCCATGCCGCCGCCCCCCGCCCCCACCCATGCTTGCAGCCGTGCCGGGTCAGCCAGGGCGTGAGGGGGGAAGGATGAGGGCGCGGAGGAGGAGGAGGACGAGGGAGAGGAGGTGGGAGAGGAGGGGGGAAAGGAAGAGGGAGAGGATGGGGAGGAGGGGGAGGATGAGCGAGAAGAGGGAGAGGATGGGGAGGAGGGGTTGGGGGTGGAGGGAGGGGACGGTTGAAAGGTGGTGGTGAGAGGGTGCAGGTGCATGAGGCACCACTCCATCTCCTTGATCTCCACTGCTGAGGCAAACGCCACCGCTGCAGCTGCAAGCAGCCTGCTGCGCGCACTGGAAGAATCACCACTGCCACTGCTGCTGCTGCTGCTGCTGCTGGTGCCGCTGTTGGGAGTGGAATTGTTTTCTTTTCGGGCAGCAAGGGGCATGGACTGCATCTGCTTGAGCAGGCGCAGGATTTGTTTGGGCTGCTCGGCGGCGCTGTAGGCGTCAGCGAGAAGGGTGAAGGTGGTGGTTGTGGGGCGCACACCGATAGCCCTCATCAGCCGAAACACCTTCTCCATCTCCTCCAACATTCCCGCCTGCAAAGAAAGTATGTACGGAAAGGGAGGGGAAAAGGGAGAGGCCAGGTGAGAGGGAAGGTGGTGGTTGTGGTACGGACGACTATGGCTCTCATGAGCCGAAACACCTTCTCCATCTCCTCCATCATTCCCGCCTGCATTAGTGGATGCAGGGAAATGGAGGAGGGAAATGAAGGGCGCAGTTAGCGGAGCAAATAGTGGTGGTTGTGGGCCGCACCCTGTTGGCCATCATCTGCCAAAACACTGCCTCCATCTCCTCCACCATGCTGCTCTGCAGTGGCGCACGTCGTAATACCAAAAGCAGCAAAACGACGAGGAAATGTAAGCGATTTCAGCAAGACATAACTGAGCCAGGTACCAGAGCAACAGAGACATACCTGAGCCAGGTACCAGAGCAACAGAGACACACCTGAGCCAGGTACCAGAGCAACAGAGACACACCTGAGCCAGGTACCAGAGCAACAGAGACACACCTGAGCCAGGTACCAGAGCAACAGAGACACACCTGAGCCAGGTACCAGAGCAACAGAGACACACCTGAGCCAGGTACCAGAGCAACAGAGACACACCTGAGCCAGGTACCAGAGCAACAGAGACACACCTGAGCCAGGTACCAGAGCAACAGAGACACACCTGAGCCAGGTACCAGAGCAACAGAGACACACCTGAGCCAGGTACCAGAGCAACAGAGACACACCTGAGCCAGGTACCAGAGCAACAGAGACACACCTGAGCCAGGTACCAGAGCAACAGAGACACACCTGAGCCAGGTACCAGAGCAACAGAGACACACCTGAGCCAGGTACCAGAGCAACAGAGACACACCTGAGCCAGGTACCAGAGCAACAGAGACACACCTGAGCCAGGTATTTGAGGGGCAGTTCAAACGACTCGGCATGAAGGCGGTAGCGCATCTTCACCAGATGCAGCAGCGTGCGCTGCATGCGGTCGAATGCGCCCCGCCTTCGCTCTGCACTCCGCTGCCCCCCCCCCTGCTGCCCCTCCGCTGCTCCATCATCCCCACGCTTTCTCTTTGACCCTCCAACCTTGTCCTCCTGCGGCCCCCACTCCCGCTGCCCCTGCCCTTGCTGCCCCTGCCCTTGCTGCCCTGCCTCCCGCTGCCTCCCTTCCATCCGCCTCCCCTGCAGCTCCTGCTGCTGCCCAGCCTCCTCCTGCCCCTCAGGCCACATGTGCTGCTGCATGCTGTCGTGGCGCTGCAGGCATGTGAGGGCGTGGGCGCCATACGCGTCCATGAGGGCATGAAAGGTGTGCACGTTGGGTGCAGTGCGGTACCCCATCTGCATGTTCTCAAACACCGCCTCCATCTCTGATAACAAGCCAGCTCTGTGTGACCGAAGGGGGGAAAGGGAGTCAGGAGGATGGGGGGGGGTACAGTAAGAAACAAGGGGAAGCAGCAAGGGTGTGAGCACGCTGGGTGCAGTGCGGTACCCCACTTGCATGCTCTCGAACACCGCCTCCATCTCTGACAATAGCCCTGCCCTGAGATTGGAGGAGAGGAAGAGGGGAACAGGAAGAGAGGCACACCAAGGAAGAGAGGCACACCAAGGAAGAGAGGCACACCAAGGAAGAGAGGCACACCAAGGAAGAGTGGCACACCAAGGAAGAGTGGCACACCAAGGAAGAGTGGCACACCAAGGAAGAGTGGCACACCAAGGAAGAGTGGCACACCAAGGAAGAGTGGCACACCAAGGAAGAGTGGCACACCAAGGAAGAGTGGCACACCAAGGAAGAGTGGCACACCAAGGAAGAGTGGCACACCAAGGAAGAGTGGCACACCAAGGAAGAGTGGCACACCAAGGAAGAGTGGCACACCAAGGAAGAGTGGCACACCAAGGAAGAGAGGCACACCAAGGAAGAGTGGCACACCAAGGAAGAGTGGCACACCAAGGAAGAGTGGCACACCAAGGAAGAGTGGCACACCAAGGAAGAGTGGCACACCAAGGAAGAGTGGCACACCAAGGAAGAGTGGCACACCAAGGAAGAGTGGCACACCAAGGAAGAGTGGCACACCAAGGAAGAGTGGCACACCAAGGAAGAGTGGCACACCAAGGAAGAGAGGCACACCAAGGAAGAGTGGCACACCAAGGAAGAGTGGCACACCAAGGAAGAGTGGCACACCAAGGAAGAGTGGCACACCAAGGAAGAGTGGCACACCAAGGAAGAGTGGCACACCAAGGAGGAGTGGCACACCAAGGAAGAGTGGCACACCAAGGAAGAGTGGCACACCAAGGAAGAGTGGCACACCAAGGAAGAGAAGAGAGGATCAGTGAGGCACACAGGTAGCACCACAGGTGTGCACGTTGGGTGCAGTGCGGTTCCACCTCTGCATGTTCTCAAACACTGCTTCCATCTCTGCCAGCAGACCCGCTCTGAGTGTGGGTCGAATATATGCTTAGCTGTCCCCCTGCATCCGTTCACCCATCCAGTGTCCACAAACGTGTCTCTCAGCACCCCCTCTCAAGACATCCCTCTCACCCACCCCTCACCTGCCGAAGCCTCTAATGAGTCCATTGAAAGTGCGCACGTCGGGTCTCAGTCCCACGCTGGTGAGTTCAAAGAACTTGTCTCGCATCAGCTGCAGCTGCCCCGCACTCCCATACGCGTCTATCAGCGCGTTGAAGGGCGTGGCGTCCGGCAGCACGCCTCTGTGCGCCATGTCCGCTAGGAGGTCTTCGGCTTCTGTGGTTCTCCCCACCAGACAGAGCGCCTTTACTGCTGACCTGCCAGAGGGGCGGGTGACGGGGGGGGGGCACAGAAGAAAGGAGGCGTTGAAAGGCGTGGCATCTGCCAGCACGCCTCAGTGCGGCATGTCCGCTAGGAGGTCCTCTGCTTCTGTGGTTCGGCCCACCAGACACAAGGCTTTCACTGCCGACCTGGGAACGCAGGGGTGGGTAAGCAGGGGGAAAGGGAAAACAAGAGGGCCAATGAAGAACGTGGCGTCTGCCAGCACGCCTCTGTGCAGCATGTCCGCTAGGAGGTCCTCTGCTTTTGTGGTTCGCCCTACCAGACAGCGAGCTTCCATTGCCGACCTGGGGACACACACGCGTGGTGAAGCAGGGGGAGGGGGGCAAAGAGGGGGGCATTGAAGGGCGTGGAGTGTGGCAGCGCGCCCCCGTGCGCCATGTCTGCTAGAAGGTCCTCGGCCTCTGTTGTGCGGCCTACCAGACACAGCGCTTTCACTGCAGACCTGAGATGAGGAATTGGGAGCAGAGGGGCATTGCATCGGATGGCATGGCATGGCATGACATGACATGGCACGGCACGCCATGACAAGGCATGGCACGGTACGGTGATGTGGCATGACATGGCGCCATGGCAAGGCATGGCATGGCACAGCATGGCATGGCTTAGCACGGCATGGCATGGCTTCGCACGGCATGGCATGGCACGGCACGGCTTGGAAAAGGCATTGCATGGCATGGCAAGGCACGAGATGGCACGGCACGGCACGGCACGGCATGGGATGGCTTGGCATGGCATGGCATGGCCTGTAAATAAAGCTAACATAACTTCTCGAATCTGACTCACCCATACGCGGCAGCATCGGAAACACAGCCGAGGGTGGCCTTCATCTGGTGCAGCAGGGCAAGTGCTGTGCTGTGCTGTGCTGTGCTGTGCCCTATCCATGAATCGAAAACACCTGCTGTAAAGAAACCTAACATAAATTGTGGAAGCTCACTCACCCATAGGCAGCAGCATCGGGAGCACAGCCAGGGGTGGCCTTCATCTGGTGCAGCAGCGCGAGGGCAGCCGTCGCCTGGTGGCGGCGGCCATACGCCTCGATCATCGCTGCATACACTGATGGCGTGCGCACACATTGCTTCAAACGCGGTAACTGCGCCAACGCCGCTGCTGCTGATGTGTCTGCTGTTGCTGCTCCCCCCGCTGTCCCCCCTGGCCCTCCTGCGCCTCCTCCTGTTCCTCTTCCTCCTCTGCTTCCTCCACCTGCAGTGGCAGCAGCAGCGGCTTTTTTCTTCAGCCGCCTCCGCCGCCCTTTGCTCGTGCCCCACCGATCCCCGTCCGGGTCATCCTCATCCTCGTCATCATACCTCGGTGCCAGCTCATCATCCGACCCATCCACGTCATCACTGCTAGAATCATCGCCATCACTGCCAGAATCCCACCTATTCCCCTTCACACCCTCCCTCACACCACCCCTCCCAGCCCTTCCCCCACCATTCCCCCCAACCCCTCCTGCGCCCACGAGCATGGCGATTCCCCCAGTCAGGGGCACAGCAGGCCCCCCATCCATGGAGGCAAAGAGCGCAGCAGCAGTGTCAGTGCGTGAATTCCGCGACAGCACCTCAATCAACCGCGCATACAGCATCGGATCTGGCTCGAACCAGTGAGCGGTCCGGATGCACTCAAACGCCTCGATCGTACGGTCCACGTCGTTCCGCCGCATGAGCTCATTCAGCGCACCTAAAACGCACTCGGGTCCAAAGCACTTGGCGTATTTCCGCAGCACGTGCCGCACCTTACGCTCCCCGCCCGGTTCTAGCTTCCCCAGCTGCACCATCACCACGCCAATCTCCTTCGCTAGGGTTTCCTCCGTTTTCTTCCCGCGCAGCCTCCGCGCCAGGGGGCGTTTCGGCGGAGTCTTCCCCCCTGCGCCCATCCCTTCTGCGCCCTTCCCTGTTCCGCCGATGCCGGTTCCGCCGAAGGCTCCCGTTTCCCCGCCAGCCGCTCGCGCGCCAGCGGATCGTGGGGCTCCGCTGGGGCCCCGCGCGCTGCCCATCGCGGCTGCGCCGAAGGGTTCCGCCGCGCCGTAGTCCCCCCAGCCGTCCGCGCGCGCTCGATTTCCGACGGGCGGACGGCGCGACGGCGGGAAATCGCGCGAGTCGCGTGAATACCGTGAATCCCGCGAATCCCGGTCGGAAAAAACGTCCAACGAGCGCGGTGGACTGGCATCAGTCCGCCGCGCCCTTGCGGACCGCCATTCCCCCTCCTCATCATCAGTTCCCCCCCTTCCGCCTCCCCTCCGCTCTCCGCCAATCCCCTCTCCTCTCACGTCTCCCCTCCCCTCTCCTCTCAACTCTCCCCTCCCCCAGCCCTTCCCCCCTCCCGCTTCCCCGAATCTTCCCTCGTACCGCCTTGCTTGATCCCCGCGCCATTCCCGCGGTCGCGCATGATCCCCGCCGCTCCAGCCACCCTTGCGCCCACTTCCCACGTCCCCTGCTCCCCGGGTTTCCCCGAATGATCCTGTTACTGTTACCACCCTTCGGCGTAACTTGTCTTCGCTACGTCGGAGTTCGCAGAGTGGGGATTCGCAGATTCGGAATGTCGCACGATGGCGAGGGAAGAATGCGGGCGGGGGAGCGCGGAGCGGAAGGACGAGGGGGGAAGAGCGGCGGAAGGGCAAGGCGGAATGCGGGGAGGCGGAATTCCCGAGAATGCAAGTCAAGGAGGTCATGTGGGACGGCGGATGATATGATATGATACGGAAAGAATCGTTCCCCTCTCCCAGCTATGATGATTCTCGAGATGTAACGCGTCGCAACGCAAGGAATACGGATGGCTATGCTAGAAATGATGGGCTTTCGGGCGGACGCGCCTGGCCCTCGATACTCTATATATGAGCTCCTTTTTTAACAGGGCATAAGCATCACAGGAATTGTGTACATTCTTTTCTCCCCTCAAGAATTTCACGAGGTTGTTTATAAGCAGACACAGTTATCAATGAGTTCAACAAGCACCCACTCTGCACAGCCGAACTCCTCCGCCCCTCGCGCCAACGAGATTAGGAGAATTCCTAGCTTCGACAGTCTCAGTCTCATCATTCCGCTTGCTTCAGCCGCACGTCGCCTTGGGTCAGCGCCGCTAGACGGACGTGCGTGGCTGCTCTCGCTGTATCATCGAGCTAGTAAAATCAGTTCGCTTCAGGTGCGAATGACTCTAAAATCGCCGCTTTCATCTGTACCACGGACTCCCTAGTGTATGAACCGCTCGAACCGCGCGTCGTTTCATTTCCGCCACGCGTTGCTTACTCACCCTCATCGTTCTTAACCCTTCTGCATCCTTCTGGTTGCTTCCGAACTCTCTTTATGCCCTCTTTCCTCGCGCTGCTCGAAGCACCTCGCCCCTCGCGCCTCATTCTCGCGCCTCGCCCCTCGCGCCTCGCCCCTCGCGCCTCGCCCCTCGCGCCTCGCGCCTCGCGCCTCGCGCCTCGCGCCTGGCCCTTTCATACCCTCGGAACCTCACCCTTCGCCGTCTGTTTCTCTCCCTCACATGTTGTTTTTTAAGCCTTGCCACATCCATCGATCCTTCCACTTTCGCCGCCTACACCCTACCTCCTGCCCTCTACCCTCTCCCTTTCTCCCCCATACTCTCAATTCTCTACCTTTTAACCCCTACACCCCCCCCTACCCTACCGCACCCCCGTTCGCATTCCCAATAGTTCTCACCATCGCATGTTAACTGTTGCGTGCGGCTGCACACCTCGCTCTGCACACCTCGCTCTGCACACCTCGCTCTGCACACCTCGCTCTGCACACCTCGCTCTGCACACCTCGCTCTGCACACCTCGCTCTGCACACCTCGCTCTGCACACCTCGCGCCCTTGTAGCCCATCTCGCCCTTCGCGCCCATCTCGCCCATCTCGCCCTTCTCGCCCTTCTCGCCTTGCTCGACGTCCGCCCTCGTCCCTCGCCCCATCTGACTTCATTCACTTTCATCCCCATTATGCTCTTCCCTGCCGTCTCTTCCCACCTTGCTTCTCCCTTTTGCTCTCTTCCCACCCTCTCTTTTGCCTCCCCTCTGCCTCTCCACCTCCCCTCTCTTGCCCTCTCCTACTGTTATTTGCTCTTCTTCTTTCCACTATATACCCCCTCCCTCTCCCCCATTCCTCTCCCCATTCCCTCTCCCCTCTCACGCCTGGTCCCTATCTCTCCTCCCCATCTCTCCTCCCCATCTCTCCTCCCCATCTCTCCTCCCCATCTCTCCTCCCGCCACTGCTCTCCTGTCAGTCTGCTCACCGTCCGTGCTCATCGTCGTCACCACCCATCTCGTCCGTCTACGTCTGTCCCACTCATCAGCCGTGAGCAGAGCATCTACAGCGAAAACGCCAACCCCTTCTGCCTCGTCTGCCAGCCGTGCGCTCAGCGAATGGCGAAGAAGAAGAGCAAGCGCGTTGCAGCGCCCGCAGATGCTGCCAAGGTGTGCCGGCCACTAATGTACTGTCTAAAGGCCGCTGTTAGAGACTGCATGAAGGCAGCGACCCCTCAAGCTTTTTTTCTTCCAGAGACAGCAACATGTTACATGGCGGATTGACGGAGAAAATTGTATCTTTCTTAAAAAGCGAGTAGAGATCAGCTGGCCCAAAAGATCAACAATGGCGTTTTCAAACCGTTCACTTGCCAATGTTCGTTCAAGTAGCTGAGAGATAAGCTCTGTGGGCTTTCCTAAGATGATGCACACTCGTAACACCTGGCAGGGATTTGCGTAGGCACGTGTGATGAAGATGCTTATGATGAGTGGATGCTCAAATCTCCACTTCAATTCAAATGGGACTAAACCATCCATCCCAAACCTCCAACCTTGCCAAACCCCGAAACCCCCTTCCCCCCACCCTCCTCCCCGTCCCCTCGTCTTCCCCCTGCCCCTTCCCCTCATTTTGTGGTTTTTTTCAGGGCTCGACAGCTGAGGCTGCTGGCAAGTCAGCTGCGGTGGCATCGGCGCCTGTGGAGGGTCGGGAGGCGGACAATGAAGGCACGGAAGAAGCAGGGTACGCCTTTGCCTGCCTCTTACTCTCCTTCAGAGATCGGGTTTGTTTATTAGCTTCTGTCACGCTTTCCATCCCCTCCCCCCTCCTTTGTCCCGTTCCCCACCCCTGTTTGCATTCCTCAACCCCTGTTTGCATCCCTCAACCCCTTGTCTCAATGCTCGACTGTTCTAGAAGCTCTCTCGGTCCCTCTCTCCAACCAACCCGTTCCCCATGGATCTGCTCTGCTCCTATTGGCTGGTGCTGGCAGGGCACAGCAGGCGACAGAGAGCAGGCGAGTGCAGAAGAGGGCTGCCAAGCAGACGAGGCTCATGGACAGTGAGTATAGCGGGTGTCACAATAGCAGTTATGGTGTCTATTTGGTGTGGGTTTAGCACTGATAATGTGCATGACTCATGTGGCTATAGCAAGTGAATGCATTAAAGCACCTGATCCCTCTTCTTCTTCCCTGTCCATTGTTCTCCCTCCTCGTGGTGTGCCAGATTTGAGGCGGACGCAGACCCTTATTGCTGCTGCCAGGGGAGAATCAAAGGTACAATTACACGCAATGCCAGCATCGTGCGAGCGTGCAAGCATTCTTTTCACTTGCTCACCTTCACGCTCCTCTTACATGCATGTGATGTGAGGCTCTTGAGACGTCTCAAAAGTCTCTTACATGCATGTGGGGCTCTTTCCCCATTTCCATGTTGACCCTCTCGAACGTACACCACACGCACTCTGCATGCAAGCAACATCTCTCGTCCTTTCTCCCTCTCCCTCTCCCTCTCCCTCTCCCTCTCCCTCTCCCTCTCCCTCTCCCTCTCCCTCTCCCTCTCCCTCGACCTCAACACACTAATTCTGCAGTTAATCACAACACTGGACCATGTCTTTTGAGACGTCTCAAAAGACACAACACTGGACCATGTTCCTGCATTAATTTCTGGGAGAGGCCATTTTCTGTGCTCCCACTCACTCAGTCTGCCACTTCTCCTTCCCCTCCCAACAGATCAAGAATGCCTCGAAGAACAAGAAAAGGGGAGCAGTGTTCAGCCTGCCATCCAGCCTCACATTAGACACGCTCGCTTCATCGCTAGGGGACGCCCTTTCCTGTGCTCTCACTCGCTCACTGTGTGCCTGTCCCAGTCCCCTCCATACAAGAAGAAGAAAAAGGGCACCGGCACCAACCTGCCAGCCTCCCACTCGACACCCTCGCTTCATCGCTGGGGGACGTCCTTCTGGACGCACTGACTCTTTCACTGTGTGCCACTCCCCTCCCTCTCAACAGACCAAAAAGGCATCTAAGAAGAAGAAAAAAGGAGCAGTGTCCAACCTGCCAACCACCCTCACATTGGACACCCTCGCATCATCGCTGGGGGATGCTTTGCCCGATGCACTGGCTCTGGGCAAGGAGGCGGAGAAGCGGCAAGCAGTGCTGTCTGCGAAGCAGCGTGGGAAGATCGTGTGAGTGTGTCGTGTGGTGCATGGCGTGGTGTGCTTTCTCTTGTCGTTGATAAGAAACCAGCATACGCAAGCCGGTTCTTTCATCCTCCCCCCTTGCACACTCATATCAATGCAAGGATACTATCTAATCGTTTCGTATGTTCTGTTCATTTCAGTATCTGCTGTACTGCAGTTACCACTTCACTCTCGTTCTTGTGTCTCTCACTGCTTATGCTTGCCTGCTGCGTGCAGAGTTGAGGAGACCAGGCAAATGGCAGCAGTGCTTTCACACCCCGCCTTCAAAGCCAACCCCTTCACCGCCATTCAGCAGCACCTCTCCAACACTCTTCCCTCGTCAGTCGCACCGCCCCCTCTCCCCACCAAGTTCGCGACGAGGCAAGCTCAACAAGCCTTGGAGAAAAAGAGGAAGAAAAAGAAGGCGAAGAAGAAAGCAGGTGGTGGAGTGCAGCATGGGGAAGATGCCATGGAGATGTAACGGGCATGGGGAAGATGCCATGGAGATGTAACGGGCATGGGGAAGATGCCATGGAGATGTAACGGGCATGGAGAAGAGAAAGCAGCAACCTTATTGTGTTTCAATGGTTGACCGTCTGGGTTGTACACAACACAACACGGCACCCTCAGGGTTGTACACAACACAACACGGCACCCTCAAGAAATGAATTACGTCATTGTGTGCACACGCGCCCGTGTTTGTTTCTTGTTTGTGTGATTTCACACAGGTAAGGTCATACCTCAAGTCAAGCACAACGCGCCCTGATAAAGCTAAAAATATGGAGATGCGCTTTTAATCGAAACAAGCATTTGCCAATAAAATGACAAATACTGTATATAAGAATCTGTGCCATATGATTGTCAGACCATTTGCTACACCATCGTACAACAAGCACAAACACAACCATCCTATCTATACCAGTACAGGTCATGAAATCAGACCTAATTATGGTAGCCGATAAGGAACATCTGAAAAGCATTCCGCAAGGTCATTCTTACCTCAAGTCCAAGCTGGACATTCTCCCCCTAGTAAACGGCTTCTCCCTGATGCGGCCCCCTCTGCCCTCTGCGCTTGCCCCATCTGCCCTTCACTTCAATCACATTCATTCTCTTCTGCAGCGACTGCGGTAGCTCATTCAATTGGGCGCATCCACCCAGATCCACCTCCCTCAGAGAAGACAAACTGCCCAGACCGTCAGGCAGAGCCCGCAGCCACTTGCAGCCTTGAAGTGAGAGCTTGACAAGCGATGGGAGGAGAGCGAAGGAGGAGGGGAGGAGATACAGACCATGAAGACTTCTGAGCTCCAGAGAGGTGAGATGCGAGAGGGAGGAGATAGAGTCTGGGAGGCTGCTGATTCTGGGGCAGTTTGCAATGGTCATCAGTCTGAGGGATGACGGCAGAGTGAGGGAGGAGGGCAGCCCTGGCAGAGACTTGCACGACTGCAGAGTCAACCTGCGGAGAGCCGTTAGCTGACCAAGATTCTCCAGAAGATGTGTTAGAGGGAGCGAGTCGAGACTGAGGTGTTCAAGCTTGGAGAGATTGCACAGGGCAGGTGGAAGGGAGGAAATGAGATAGCACCTGTCTAGCAACAGCACCTTCAGCTCTCTGAGCTCGTCCAAATTACTCGGCAGTGCGGGAAGGTAACTGTTGGAAATGCCGAGGTGAACAAGAGATGACAGAAGCCTCAAACTAGCATGGGCTCGAGCAGAGGCGTCAGTTACAGCAGACGGGGCTATGAGCTGTTCATCTAATCGGAGGTGGCGTAGCTCCAAGTGACGCAGGTGGCTGAGGGAAAGGAATGACTCTGGGAGGCATTTAATGTTCTGGAATGTGTTGGAGATGATGATGATCGTGACAGAGAGCTGAAGAGAGAATAATGGGCTCCATTCTGTAAAAATCATGGTGGAGCAGTCTTGCAGTGTGAGGTGCTCAAGCTTCGGCAGGAAATGCAGGCCCTCAGGCAGGCTACTCAGACGGGGACAGCCAGTAATCTCCAATTTCTCAAGGGAAGGGCAAGGAAGATCACAAGCTGCAGCAAGAGCAGATGGTACTGCCCCAGTGGCAGGGGCCAGCATGCTTGGGGTGAAGAGCGAGGGTAAGTAGGACAACTGGTCGCAGTTCTTCACCTGGAGAACCTTAAGGCTGGACAGATTCCCCATCCCTACTGGCAGATTATCAAGCGAATTACATTCATCAATAATCAGCTGCTCCAGACGGGTGAGGAGAGTAAGCTGTCGAAATAGCAGGCTAAGATCAGAAACAGGAAAGAGGGGTTTCACTAGCAGGCAGTTGAGTACATATAGCAAACCCTAATTTGGGTTGTACTCGCTATAGAGTACCCCACTGCAGGCTAGACAAACATCACATTCTGACACACCCCCATAGTCAAAGTGGGGTACAATCAACACAGCAAGCAAGCATAGAGCAGGTTCACAAATACACACTAAGCTAGAGGCAGTCAAAGCGGGCAAGTGAGGAGGAGGAGAGACTGTGAGAGGAGTGGAGATAGAAGGCGACGGGTGAAGCCGCAGACACACGGGCAACAGGAACGGCGCGCACAGTGGCTACCGGAGCACTCAACCTCCGGACTACAGGAGTAACTGGCTCCGCACTAAGCTGCAGGAGCAATGGACCCACGGGCGACTGGCAGCAGCAGGCTCGCTGGGCTACCGGAGTACTCAACCCCCGGACTACTAGCGCTGGTGACGTCACAACGGCTACCTCCGGTCAACCTCCCCCAACTGTCCCACACCCCTTTCACACACTCCCTGCTGTACCTCTAGCACTGCTCACACGCCACCCCCCTCGTACCACTCCGACGACTCCCACACATCCACCCCCCTCAGCGGCAGCTGCAGCAGTGGGAGACGGAGGAGGAGCAGGGGAGGCCGCACACACCTGTCATCCCCATACTCGCCACCCCCACACTCGCCACCCCCAAACCCTAACACAGGCAGCAGCGAGGGGGGCGGTGCGCGGGCAGCATCTCGGGGGAGGGCGGCTCCCCAGGGCGCCTCGACGGGGCAGCGGGGTGGTCGCGCACGGCTGCCTAGGGTGCCGCGACGGGGCAGCGGGGGGCCGCGCGCGGCTCTCGAGGGCGTCGCGACGGGGCAGCGAGGGGCCGCGCGCGGCTCCCGAGGGCGTCGCGACGGGGCAGCGGGGTCGCACACGGCTCCCCAGGGCGTCGCGACGGGGTAGCGGGGGCGACGCGCGGGCCAGCGGGGCGACGCGACGGGCTCCCGGGGGGGCGACGTGACCGCCGACCGGGGGGGGGGGGGGGGGGGGGGGGGGGGAGGGGGGACGCGCGGGTCGACGGGGCAGAAAACCGCCGCGCGCCCCGAGCGCGCGGCGGGAAGAAAAAAAGCACCGCGCGCCCTGAGCGCACGGCAGGCAGCAGACATCGCGCGCCCAGGGCGTGCGATAGGCAGAACAGCAGCGGAAGCATCGGGCGGGACCACCCACAGGATCGACCCAGGAGGGTCGACCTGCTCGGATAGCATGTCGAAATAGCAGGCTAAGATCAGAAACAGGAAAGAGGGGTTTCACTAGCAGGCAGTTGAGTACATATAGCAAACCCTAATTTGGGCTGTACTCGCTATAGAGTACCCCACTGCAGGCTAGACAAACATCACATTCTGACATAAGCGACCGTGGCAGAGTGCTGAGGGCGCAAGACTCAAAGATATCCATGTTAGAATCCAACCATTCGTTCTCACTGAGCCCGTACCTGTCATAAACCTCCTTTTTTCCAACCTTGAAAATCTCCAGGCTTGCCAGCTTCCCAAGCCCCACTGGTAAACGTTGTAAGGCGCAGTTGAACAGCTCTAATCTGCGCAGATTCGGGAGATGCTCAAAACCCTGAGGGAGGAACCGGAGAGAGGTTTCCCCGTAGATGAGAAGCGTTTCGAGAGGAGAGAGGTTGAAAAAGGAGGAGGGGAGAACTTGTAGGTTGTGGCATTCCAATAGAATCAGCTCCTTCAGCTTCCGCAGCTGCTCAAGAGAACTAAGCAGGATATCAAGTTGGCTACAGGACAACTTCAGCGAAACCAAACTTGTAAGCTGTCCGATGTCTTCGGGCAGCACACGAAGATCGCACTTGCTCCGAACGAGGCTAGTGAGGAACTCCATGGCTTCTACTGACTGTGGAAAAGCCTGGAGATTGCGACAGTAAATGCTATTCAACTCCTTGAGAGCAGCTAGATGGCTAAGGGAGTCGGGAACTCGAGTCAGCTTTTGAAGAAACTCCAGATTCAGGCACTGGAGAGAAGAGATCTGACCCACGTTCTCTGGGACGGACCTAAGGCAGATGCAGCTGTCAAACTATATATATATGTATGCTGTAGTATAATCTGTAGGCTGTAGTGGGGTAGCCCATATGGGGTACAGCCCAATGTTAGGGTTTCAATTTGTACCCACCTTCCTCATAGTTCATTCATTCCTGCCTGTAGTTAGTGACATGGTTTCAGAGCAGTAGGTCCGTAGGACCGTTTTTTTTTTTTTTTTTCGGACACACCTACCGTTGCGGTTACTGAGCTGCCCCACGTCTTGCCTGCGCTGCGCCGCCCGTGCGCGCCCTGCCTTGCCTGCGTTGCGCCGCCCGCGCGCGCCCTGCCTAGCCTCCGTGACGTGCTGCGCTGCGCGCGCCGTCCTGCAGCCTTCGCGCTGCCTGCTGCTGCCCTGCGTCGCGCTGCCCCGCGCACGCCCTGCCCTGCCCCGCGTCGCGCTGCCCCGCGCACGCCCTGCCCTGCCCTGCGCCAGCGCCCTGCCCTGCGCCAGCGCCCTGCCCTGCGCCGGCGCCCTGCCCTGCGCCAGCGCCCTGCCCTGCGCCAGCGCCCTGCTCTGCGCCAGCGCCCTGCCCTGCACTGGCGCCCTGCCCTGCGCCAGCGCCCTGCCCTGCGCCAGCGCCCTGCCCTGCGCCAGCGCCCTGCCCTACGCCCGCGCTGCTGCCCTGCGCGTCGCACCCTACGGCAGCCCGCGCGTCGCGCGCTGCTGCCCCGCGCGTCGCGCCCTGCGGCAGCCCGCGCGTCGTGCCCTGCTGCCCCGCGCGTTGCGCCCTACGGCAGCCCGCGCGTCGCGCGCTGCTGGCCCGCGCGTCGCGCCCTACGGCAGCCCGCGCGTCGCGCGCTACTGCCCTGCGTGTCGCGCTCTGCTGCAGCCCGCGCGTCGCGCCCTGCTGCCCTGCGCGTCGCGCCCTGCTGCAGCACGCGCGTCGCGCCCTGCTGCCCTACACAGCGCGCGCCCTGCTACCCGCGCAGCCCAGGCCGAGCCGAGCCGCCCTACCCGACCCGATCCGCCCTCCTGCTCGTGCTACTACTGCTGCTGGTGGAGGTGCTGCTAGGAGTGCTAGAGGTGCTGCAGCCTAGCCTCACCGGGCCGCTCTACTGCTCTTACTGCTGTTGCTGCTGCTCGTGCGCCTCCTCGCTTACCCGCTATGACTTCCCTTCGTAGTAGCGGTGGGAGTGGTGACGGCGGTGGTGGCAGCAGTGAGAGTGGTGGTGTCAGAGGTCCACTGGGGATCCCCGATGATCCTAGGGAAGGGTTACAGGCATGTTGGCCTGGGGGGTTATGGGCGCACTCACCCGCTATATAAACAAGCCCTTTTATCCCAGTGGTTAGTGGCTGGGATTCTGACATGGTATCAGAGCGAAGGTCTCGGGTTCGATTCCCAGTGTGTGCACTTCGGGCATCCCAGTGCGGGGGGGTGTCAGAGGTCCACTGGGGATCCCCGATGATCCTAGGGAAGGGTTACAGGCATGTTGGCCTGGGGGGTTATGGGCGCACTCACCCGCTATATAAACAAGCCCTTTTATCCCAGTGGTTAGTGGCTGGGATTCTGACAGGTGGCGGCCGTAGTAGCAGTCGCTGTGGAGCTGTTCGGTGGGGAGTGTCTGGCGGTGGCCAGATGCAGCTGCAGCGGCGTCCGCGCGAGACCCTTGAGCCCCAGCAGCTTCGTGAGTGGTACGCCAGGTGGTGTGCAAGCGGCGGCCGTCGTGGCAGTCGCGGTGGAGCTGGTCAGTGCGGAGTTCCTGGCGGTGGCCAGATGCAGCTGCAGCAGCGTCCTAGCGAGACCCTTACACGCCAGCAGCTTTGTGAGTGGTACGCTCAGAGTGGGGGGTGTAGGAGTACTGCCCGCTGCCCGTACGTCATTCGCACAGGTGATCGGGCTGGTCAGACTTGCGGGACGCTCTCTCACACACAGGCTCGCTGCTTCGCCCGTCTGAGTGACGGCTGCGCATGAGGCTGAGCTCCCCCCCTGGCTAGAGCTGCTGCGCAACAAGGTGGATATCTTTGCTCTAGACTATGACACTATCCTTACTGCCATGTATGCTCTGACTGGTACTACTGAGGGTGACTGTTACCTGTGTGTGCCCCCTGATCCTGGTATAGCGGCTGCTGCTCTAGGTGCTAGTGAGTCTGCTCTCTCTGGTACTGCGCCTGCTGAGGCCTTGCACACCTTTACACTTGACTCTGGTGCTTCCCGCTGTTTCTTTCGCGACAGTACCACAGTCACTCCCCTCCCTGCACCTGTCCCTGTCTCACTGGCTGACCCCTCTGGGGGCCCAGTGCTTGCACGGTCCACTACTGTGCTTCCGTGTCCGGCGGTCCCGTCCGGTGAGCTGTCTGGTCTCCACCTCCCCTCGTTCTCTACGAACCTGGTGAGCAACACCGTCCTTCAGGATCATTGGGTTGACACCTTTACTCCTGGAGGACAGCGTGTGGCGATCTGCACGTGCTCTCGGACTGGCCGCCACCTGACTACGTTCACACGTGCGCCTGGGTCCAGTCTGTACACCCTCACCACTGCGTCGCGCTACACCCCTTTGTCTCCTCAGCTGTACGCGTCCGCTCAGGTAGCTACCCAGTGTGAGTGTCGCCGCCTGTCGCACGACACTCTCCTGTGGCACCACCGCCTTGGTCACCCCTCTCTACCCCGCCTTCGTGGCATGCACTCTCGCCTACTGGTCTCTGGCCTTCCCAGGTCTCTGCCCGCCCTCCCTCCCTCGCCTGCCCCGCCCTGCATTCCTCGCCTGCCCCAGCCTGCATTCCTTGCGTCGAGGGGCGGCAGCGCGCCGCT